CCCTCCCAGAGGAAATAAAAGAGGAGCAAAAGGGGAGTGGAGTTTGCAGGAGACAATTAGTTTGCTTAATTGGCTCATGACTCCCTGAGACTCCTTGCCAAGTTTTGCAGATCTCGGCCTGGCAGCTCTCCAAGCCAGATAAGGTCTGTGACCATAAATCCTCCCTTGAAAGAATTTGCTGGATGTGAATGAGCAGAATTCACAGTAAATCAATAAAAGGTTTTTTTTGTCAGGACAAGGAGTTTGCTTCATGCTCTTGGGAAGCCTCGGTCAGAACACCCATTTAAGCACATTTTCAAGCCAAAGCAGAGGTGCCACTTACATTTGTGAACCGGTAGGAAAAGTCAGTGAAAACCACTCTTGGTTGTTCACCCTTCTCACCAAGATTTTTTGTTAGGCAAAAAGGAAGAAGGTGGTGAACTTCAGGTCTGGATCAAAGAAGCCAAGAACTTGACCGCAGTCAAATCCGGCGGGACATCGGACAGCTTTGTCAAGGGGTGAGCAATGAAAGAGGCTTTTGAACGAGTGCTGAATAGAAAGGAAGTGAGAGATTGGAGCGGTTGTCCTCAACATTGACCTGTGTGTTGGTGCGTGCCTGGATATAAGTTTTATAACTGTCACGGTTTGCACTGCGCATGCTCAAGTGTTGAATGAATGTCCTTGGCTCCAGGCTGGGTAAATTCTGGAATGTTGAATGGAAAACGGAATCTAATTCCTGTTTTAACAAAAAGACACACACCAGCACTGTGGCCTTGCACAAATTATGCAGATAGTTTCTTTTTGTTTGACTTTGCTAGTTAAAGGGGTGGATGAACAAATCATGAAAAACATCCTGTTCTGAGCATTGAGAAGTTTCTCTGCGGCGTCTTAAGCAGGGTTGTCAAACTCGATTTCATTGAGGCCTGCATCAGGGTTGTTTTTGACTTCCGGGGGCCGGGGTGGGCATAGCCAGCTTGAGGTCACTTGTGGCGGGGGCACCTGTGGTGGCCTGAGTATGCTCGGCCAGTGAAAACAAGCTCCTGAGCTCTGTTTTCGGCTGCGATGGCCTCCTGCAACCCTCTGCTAGCGAAAACGGAGCTTGGGAGGGCCGTGGTCTGTTTCCAGGGCAGCCCCATGCATCAGATCTAAGCACCCCAAGAGCCAGATCTGGCCCATGGGCCTTGAGTTTGACACTACTGGTCTTAAGGACTACCAATGTGTTGTCGCTGGAACAGAACTTCTCAAGAAGATCCAGCCTGTTCTGACCCATGGTTCTGGATCAACTAGTTTTGCCAAGGTCCAAGCGTAAGAGCCTCTTTCACGAATGAGCACTGACTCCTTCCTGTCCACAGGTTTTTGCTCCCTCTGAAGAACAGGACAGCGAAGAAGAAGACCCCAGTGGTGAAGAAGAGTCTGAACCCCCACTACAATCACACCTTGGTCTACAATAACATCTTTACAGAACAGTTGTCCCACATCTGTCTGGAGCTCACCGTGTGGGATCGGGAGCCTTTGTCCAGCAATGATTTCTTGGGTGGCGTCCGGCTTGGAGTTGGCAATGGTGAGAAAGCAACAGGACCTGTTGAGGTTCTACTAGTCTTACAGACCAGAGTATTCAGCAGGTTCTGACCAATTCTGGAGAACTGGCAGCGGAAATTTTGAGTAGTTCAGAGAACTGGCAAATACTACCTCTGGCTGGCCACGGCCCTTTGTATTCTCTGCCTCCTGAGTCCCAGCTGATCGGAAGGGAATGGGGACTTTGCAGTAACCTTCCCCTGCCATGCCCGCCAAGCCATGCACGCACGCCAAGCCACGCCCACAGAACCGGTAGTAAATTTTTTTGAATCCCACCACATCTTGAATTGGGCACTTTAAAAAGAAATGGGCTGAATTTGAGAGCTCTGGCAGACCTAGAATGGACATTTAGGTGTATTGACTTCATTTTTTAGGCCTTTTGTATCCTACCCAACATAGATAGCCTCCCATTTTTTTCCTCTCTCCAAACAACAATGTTGTGAGTTGGGCTCTTGTAGCCTAAGAGTGGACTGGAACTCAAGTCTCCTTAGTGCCAGATGAGTACCTTCATCCACAAGCTCTCTTGGATCTCTTTTATGTTTCGCAGTGGATTTGGGGTCCCCCAGAGTTTCAGGCTGGAGGGGTCTTTGTCTCTGTATGTACAGATAGTCCTCAATTTACAACCATTCATTTACAACCCTCTTCCTTTATTTGTGTCTCATCTATTTGAAAAATAAGAGCCCTTCGGATTATAAAAAAGACATACTTTTTAAATAATAAAAATCCCTAGTCCTTCTCATTTGTCTGTTCAGGATCCTGTTGTGGCCCATCAGCAGACAGCAGAGCTGGTGGTAGACTCAGACAGTGAGGAGGTTGGGGAGGAACACGGGCCAGTCCTGGAGTTTGGGGAAAGTTCGGACAAGGACTTTATGTTGGAGGCAGAGATGGGGCCAGGGCTGTTTGACAGTTATCAGCTGCCTACAGAGTTAGACATCAGTGGGGCAGAAGAACAGCTGGAGCCTGTTCCCAGTGTATGCATGCACAGAGCTGCCAGGAGAAGGGAACAGCTAAGGAATAAAGACCAACCTGGGGTAAGGCCACAGGTGGATAGTGAATGGCCCCTCCCATAGGGAAAAGAGAGGAGCGAAAAGGGAGGGGAGTTTGCAGGAGACAATTAGTTCAATTCATTAGGGTGAAGATCTGTTCCTGATTTCTTGCCAAGCAATTGCTGCTACAGCGTGGCGTTTGGAAGATATCAGCCTGGCAGCTCTCCAAGCCTGATGGAAATCTGTAGTTTTGAAATCTCATGAAAGACAGTTTGCGGGGACAGTTTGCTGGAGAGGAATTCCCGCTGACCTAAATAAAAGGGGTTTTATCGGGACGAGGAGTCTGCTTCGTGCTCTTGGGAAACCTAGGTCAGAACAGATCCCTTGTCTCCTCTTTACCCTTCCTTTTGCTTTCTGCAGGGATGAGTAACGGCCAGGTAGTCGACTGGATGGATTCCACGGGCGAGGAGATAAGCCTGTGGCAGAAAATGCGCCAGTACCCAGGATCCTGGGCGGAAGGCACCCTTCCTCTTCGGGCCACCATGATCAAGACGAAGCCGTAATTTTGTCCCCACTTGCTTGGAACAATCAAAATCTCGGCGGCCGGGGGGGGGGAGGGGAGAGACGCAGGTGTTCTGGAGAGCTGGCCCAAAACGATCCAGCTCTCTTAACACAGGAGCTGCTTCTGCAACGGCTGTTCCAACCGGCTCTTTCTAAAGAAGGGAATATTTTTTGGGCAGCCTTTTTTATTCCAGAGGTTCTTCGTTTTTGCAATGTTGTTGGAGCTCTTCACAGCGTCTCAATGTGCCTTTAAACCCCCCCCCCCCCCTTTTTTCTTCTTCTCCTTCTCCTTCTCCTTTCCTTCTCCTTCCTGGGCTGTCCTTGTTTTTTTTTTTCCCCCCTGCTTTTTTGTTTTATTAAAAAAGCCCTTTGGGTGTAAGCTCTATCTTTACATCCGGTTTTAAATGCCTGCTCTTTGTGTCAGCAGGAAAGGCTCATCGAAATAAAGTTCAAATCTATCCTGCAGGAGCTGCAGGGAATTCAACTGGCCTTGAAACCTCGGATGCTGTAGTGTCCTGAAAGTTGCATTTCAAAGTCTGCTGTGTTGGAAAGCAGAAGAAAGGAGCTAATCACATTCATCGACGTATTTTTTTTCCGCTTACGAGGAAGTTTACGGTGTTGGAAGTGGGAGGAAAGAAGGGGGTGGAAGGATGTCTAAAATGACATGAATATGAAGAAGGGACATGGCTGTTTTTCTTGTATGGCGCCCAAATCTGGGATTTATCTATGGAAGGGGAATAGTGGAGGAGGATCCAAGGCAGAAAAGAATGTATTAAACAGATGGCTTTTAAAAGGAGACCGGGGTGAAAGAATGGGGAACAAATGTATCCCAATGACTGCTGTCTTCGGTACCAGAAATAGCAGTTGTCTTAATCCTGATTTGAGGACGCAGCCCAAGGAAGGTTGTGTTCTTTTCTTGGAAAATATTAGAACTTGGAGATTTTCTCTTGGAGAATATTAGATCTGATCTAGGCAGGCTTTGTTTATGATCTTATATCAGCCTTCAACTATCTGTTGTTTTTGAATTCAGTTGCTAAGTCATGCCTGACACTTTGCAACCCCATGAATCCATCATGACACACAGACACAGACAGACACACAGAGACAGACAGACAGACACACACACACACCCCTTAATATATATTTGTTTTCTTTGAAGTGGCCTTCTGGCCTAGACTGTTTTTAATCGAGGATTAAAGGATGCCAGGGAAGGCATCCTCTGGTTGCCACATGTTAGGCTTCAAACCAGGCCAGCGTGGCAAATGTTGAAGATGTCAAGAGCAGAAGGACCCCAATTGTTCCTTTTGTGCTAAAATTAAATTAAAGAGCAATAGCACTTGGACATATATATTTACAATGCTTCACAGCCCTCTCTAAGCAGTTTGTAGAGTAGACATATTGTCCCCAACAATCTGGGTTCTCATTTTACTCACCTCGGAAGGATGGAAGGTGGAGTCAACCTTGTCAGGATTAAACTGCTGGCAGTGAACTGAATTAGTCTGAAATTCTGCATTCTAATGGAAGGAAGGAAGGGAAATGGCAATAGCACTTAGACTTATATACCGCTTCATAGTGCTTTTATAGCGCTCTCTAAGCAATTTACAGAGTCAGCCTTTCGCTTGCAACACTCTGGGTCCTCATTTTATTGACCTCGGAAGGATGGAAGGATGAGTCAACCTTGAGTTGGTCAAGATCGAACTCCAGACTGTAGGCACAAATTGCCTGCAATATTGCACATAACCACTGCACCACTGGGGCTCCCAGCCCTCTTAAAAGCTAGCCCTCTTACAAATTAATGAATTTATTTGATTTTTAACCTTCAGTCTTACAATGTACAGCAGTTACAATGTCAGAACAGAAAACAATCAAATCAAATCAGCAAACAAGCCAAATCTCCCACGCCATGAGAAATAAATAAGAAGAGGCATATTGAAATGTGCTTTTACAAAGCTCTCCTTTTTCAGAACTTCCTAAAAATTACCAGGGGAAGGGGAAGAGGTCAATCTGATCTCCGAGGAGTCCATGCTATGTTGTTGGTGCTGCTATGGAGAAGCATCTGGGAAATGTGGAGCTACAAGGAGCTTCCCTTTTGCATTGAGTTTCTTCTGTCTGTAGCCTTGATGTTCTCCTAGCAAAATAGGCACCTGTAGATAGATTTGCTTCCATGGTTTCCCTTTTGTCTTTTTGAAGGTCTCTTTCTCTGACCTCATATCCACGTTGCAAAACCTATTTTTTAATAGTAAGCTTGACTATTTTAGCAATAGCAATAGCACTTAGACTTATATACCGCTTCACAGTGCTTTACAGCCCTCTCTAAGCGGGGCCCCCAACAACCTGGGACCTCATTTTACCCACCACAGAAGGATAGAAAGAAACTGGAAGCCCTGTGATTTTAGCCCTGGTTCATCTCTGATTATAGAGCCCAAAACTCAGGAATGTTGGCTTGTTATTTGACCAGGATAGTAGGTGAAAACGGGGTAGTCCGTGAGTTTGCAATTAAGCTAACTTAGTTTTTGGTGAGCCCTATCTTTTGACCATGTCCCCAAAGAAGAGCGAAGCTAAGAAGAGAGCAGGAAGGACAAATCAGAAGATCTTGTTCTACACCAGTTATCTCAGCGGTATCCTTGGCTAGAGCTGGTCTTGCGCTGAAGTGCTCTAGATGTTAAACCGCAACTCTGGAAATCCTTGGTCATGCTCGGGTTGAGGTGGGTAGGAACTGGAGACCAAACCCATCCACATCCACCCATCAACTTCCTGCTTTATAAGGGTGAAGAGAATTATGATCCAGGCAAAAAGAGTCTTAAGTGCTCTCTTTATGGGAAAAAAAATGTACATTTGAGAAAGCATCTCTTTTGGAATAGTGCCTCCAACATTGGTAGATATTAACCAGGCCACGAGAAAGCTCTGCATTCCTGCTTACAGGGTCAGAAAAGAAACTTCTGCTGCCACCTTGACTGAAATCCAACTGTTGCTTTTCGGGTTTCACCCCTAACCACCTTGGCTAATGGGAAACAAGACCATTGGGTTGACGTTGTTGGCCAAAGGCAACCAGGAAGTTCCTTGTCACTCGCACATGTCCCTGTTTTGTTCTTGCTGTGACTGTTCCTGGGTGCTCAGCAGGTACATATCCACGTAGGAGAACAGCTCATCCGGCGTCACTGGCTGGATGTAGCGGTCGCGGTCGGTGCCGTCTTTGTCAATCAACACTACGTTGAAGCGAGAATGACTGATGTGCAGGAGCTGCCTGCAGAAATAAGGTTTCAAAGAAATCTTGATTAGGCCATTGGCTCTAAGCGTTCTCAATGACGCTTAGAGAAGATAGCAAAGAATCAAGAGAAGATGTTGCATGTGAAGTTCAGTTGCTGGGTGGAAGAAGGTCTTAGGTTAGTTGGACCCCTAGATGGGTTGCTCTCTAAAACAGTGTTTCTCAACTGTGGCAACTTTTAAGGTGTGTGGACAGCACAGAATAGGTGGACATCATAGACATGCTGGCTGGGGCATTCCGGGACTTGAAGTCCACATCTCTTAAAGTTGCCCAAGGATGAGCAGGACTAGAATAAAAAAAGGACTGCACCCTTCTGGAGAGCCCAGATGTCGTTCTGGAGAGGTCTTCTCACTTCGATGTTTCTCATTATCTGGTGACCGGGAGTTCCATAAGTTGATTACACCGTATGCGTTGGAGTCCTTGATGGTCTCTGAGCTTGGTGGTTTTCCTGCAGACATTTCATTACTCAACTAGGGAACATCTGAAGAACATCTCAAGTTGTTACCTAGCTGGGTAATGAAACATCTGCAAGAAAACAACCAAGCTTAGAGAGCACCAAGAACTCACAGTTTAAGCTTGAGCTACAAATACTCTCTTCTGTTTCCTTTTTTAAACTTATAAACTTATTTTTAAAATTTTTAAAACTTTTTAAAAAGTTTTTAAAAAGTTTTTTATTACGGTCACTTTTCTTGACGGATGGCAAATGAGATTTCTAATTGGTTCCCGTAGCTATATAGGACTCAGCTTACCATAGTTTGGTTTCCACTCACCTCAGTTCTTCCACTATCTTTTCGGAGAGTTGGAGCTCCCGGATCCGCCCCACGTCCCGAGGTGGCAAACCCACCAGTTCAATCACGGTCATGTGACGCATGTCCAACCCACAAGTTGCTTGCTGCAATGGAGAAACAAACAATGCAGTTACAAGGCGACTTGTAATTGTGGAGGACAGCAGGGACTGGGGAAGATCATAGAAACATAAGGGCTGGAAGGGACCTTGGAGGTCCTCAAGTCCCCTGGTCAGTCTTACTTGCAACATGGCATTCTGCATCTTATAGTAGCGGTCTGAGGAGTCGGGAGCCGAGACGACCAGCAATCTGCGCTTTTCATAAAACTGATCCAAAAGGCCTGCGACAGAGTTGACGTCTACATTGATTTGCATGGCTTGAAGGAAAAAAGAGGACAGAGCAGAGATGGATTATTCGGTTCGTGGAGATTCTCAGTCATCCAGGTTGTCCCAAAGGTGCTTTTTTTCAGGAGGCAACTGGACTTCCTGGTTTTTCTTTGAAGATGTTTTGCTTCTCATCCAAGAAGCTTCTTCAGCCCTGCTCCTTTAGCTTCTCCGAAGAAGTTTTTTGGATGAGAAGCGAAACATCTTCAAAGAAAAAACTAGGAAGTCCAGTTGCCTCTTTAAAAAAAAAAAAGCACCTTTGGGATTCTCTGGTTCCTTTCATTTTTCCTTCCCCTGTTCCATATCAGTTATCTGAATGGCTCTAATCCTGGCATCCAAACATGTTTTACTAACTGCTGTGTTGAAAGGAATAGCAATAGCACTTATATTTATATACCACTTTACAGTGCCCTCTCTAAGCGGTTTACAGAGTCGGCCTATTACAGGGGTGGGTTTCTCGCCCCGTTCCAACCGGTTCAGTTGGAACGGGGCCGGCGGCGTCCTCGTGCACGGGCGCAGTGCACGGATGCGTATTAGCGTCTGTGCGATGCTGCAGCTGCTCCTGGAGGATCGCGCAGGCGCTGTATGCGTTCTGCGCATGCGTGAAAACACAAAACTCATCC